GTGGGTTCAAACCCAGCCCCAGCCAAAAACTGCAAAAATAAAAATAATTTTTAAAAAGTAAATTAAAATATAAATACTATGGAGCCAGTTAAGCCCAGGTTCAAGTGCTGGCTCTGCCCTTCTCCAACTTTGTCATTCTGTTCTTCAACTTCTGAACTTCAATATCCTCATCCTTAAAAATGGGTTAAAAAAATTAAAAATAAAATGGGGATAACATTGAACTTGCCTCAGGGACTAAATGAAAAAATCCATGAAAAGTGTTTCTCCGGGTGCCTGGCGTGAACACTCTGTAAAATGTCTTTTGCTATTTTTACCTTTTATTTATAGATAATGGAACCCCAACTGAAAGGAGCCTTGGGGGCCACCTAATTCAACCTCCTGCTTCACCTCCAGAAAAACTGGTGTTCAGGGAAATTAGCATTACCTGTCCAAAGTAGAACATCAAAAAGTCTTGTGAGGCATGGTCTTTTGCCTGTGTAGCAGGGAAATGTCAGTTAATCGTTATTACATCCCATCATTCTCCTAATAAATAAGCATCTGGAAGAGTAGGCAAGGTTGGCTGAAACATGTTTCCAACTCCTCCCTCCCCCTCTCCGTGCCTGGTGTCTCTGAGGGACGGTTGTGTAAGGAGGTAGAGTGTGGTGTTGGTTATTTTCCATACTCATCCACTGGTCACTCGTTTGTTGCTTTGTCTCTCCTCAGTGCCAGGCCCTTCAGGGAATCCAGCTGTGATTTTCTAGAAAATAAGATTTAGCTTTTCTAAAGAACTAAGACTTGCTCGCCGTTACTTAAGTTTCCACGACACCAAGGCTCATTCTGTGTATTCTATTTCAGTGCCATGAATCTGGAGAAATTTGAGAAAGGCCCCAGGGAGATTTTTCATCCTGAAATACAAAAGGTAACAGAAATGTTCCGCTTCATAATTGTACAAAAGCCAATGCAGTACTAGGTTGGAACTGACAGGTCATCGGTTACTCTAGCCTTGGATACTGAGCAGAATCGCCTGGGTGGCTTTGAAAAAATCACCATGGGAGAGTCTTACACCTGAAATGCTGATATGATGGGTCTAGGGTAGAGCCGGGAGTCTATGTTTTTAAAAGGGATTCTGAGCAGTTCTGGTGCACAGACTCCCTCAGTGATTCTGAAATCCCTCAGGTTTCTGAAAACCACTGAGCTGTCCTCCATCATGAACTAACAGGACATATGTTCAGAAAGATCTTATTGGCTTAAAAGCTGGTCTTTTTACTGAGTGATATAGGCACGTGTGGAATGTGAATGACATTTTTTAAAATACAAAATGTGGTTATTGAGTTCTTATGCATGTAGAATAAGAAATCATCCCTGTTTTCTTAGGACCTACTGAAAACGGTCTACTTTGGGAGGAAAAGAAATAATCTAGGTAATGGGTCATCAGAAAAATGTCAACCAAACTTTTATCTCATAGTTGTAACCAATCGAGCTTTGAAACTTACAAACACAGCCATCACTAGTAGTGTGCCGGTCAGGTGCCAAAGCTGAGATTCAAGGATTTGGGGACACCTGGCCTGCGTGACAAGGGAAGTGGCTGGAGAGGCAGCTTCCAGAGCCAACAGGGTCTTTAGGCAGAGAGGCACCACGCTGCGATTTGCTTCTGCAGAAAAGTACTTAGTGTGAGGAGGGTTGACTGGAACATGAGAAGTCTGCTCACTTGCCTTTAAGTTAGCTTTTAAAGTAGGGTTATTGGCTGTCAGCTTACCCAAAATCTACAGTTATAAATTTCCATGTCATTTATTTTGATTTAATTTTTAAAATAATACCCAGCCTCAACCCCAGACAGAACTCAGGCAAAAACAGGGGTGTTAGGTTAAATGTTAAACTATGCTGTGTTTAAAGGTGGTTCTTCATAGCAAATTTAAAAACAAAATAGAACCACAAATATGTCAGTACCAGCATACGTTTATACTTAGCTCCTATGAGTTATCATTCTTAATCTTTTACTTCTTTGAGTCTTGCTGTGACACACACACACACACCAACCCCACTTCCAGATCCTGAGCCCCCAAACCCACGGAACCGACTGTGGTGTGCTTTTTTCTGCATCTTGCCTCCAACCAAATCCCCTCAGCAGAGCTCATGTCATCCCTATCTCCCTTCTCTCTTCCAAAAAATAAAAGAGGGCAAGAAAAAAGGATATAGCAGCATTCTGCCTGACTATGTCATAATTTTTTACCATAAAAGGTACTTCATATTTCCTTGCATTTGTGTTGTGACTCTTTTCCCTCAGCAAGGAACCATTTCTGAGCTTTCCCTCATCCTCTGTGTGAATGTACATGTGTGTGAGTGCACACATGTGAGCGTATGTGTGAGTGTGCATGTGTGTGAGCACAGGTGTGTGAGTGCATGTGTGTGCGCACACATGTGAGCATATGTGTGTGCATGTGTGAGCACAGGTGTGTTAGTACATGTGTGTGAGCACACGTGTGAGCATATGTGTGTGCGTGTGTGAGCACAGGTGTGTTAGTGCATCCATGTGAGCACACACATGTAAGCGTGTGTGTGTGAGCACAGGTGTTAGTGCATGCGTGTGATCACACACATGTGAGCATAGATATGTGCATGTGTGAGTGTGCATGTGTGTGGATGTGTGTGAGTACACATGAGTGAGCGTGTGTGGGTGTGCGTGCATGTGAGTACACACATGTGGGCGTGTGTGAGTGTGCATGCATGTGAGTGCACACGTGTGAGCATGTGCGTGTGAGTACACGTGTGAGAGTGTGCACATGTGTATCGTGTGGGGTGCTACACGTGCATATATGGAGTGTGCATATATGTGCATGTATGTGAGTGTACACATGGGTGAGACTCAAGCCATAGTATTAACAGCTACCATCAGGTTCCTTAGATTTCCATTAGGAACGCTTGAGAAACAGGCTTTGGGTAGAGGGAAAAGAGTTGGTTAAAATCCCAGGATCCAGGCCAGGTGCGGTGGCTCACACCTGTAATCCTAGCACTCTGGGAGGCTGAGGCAATGGATCACCTGAGCTCAGGAGTTTGAGACCAGAGTGAGCAAGAGCAAACCCCGTTTCTAAAAATAGCCGGACACTAAGGCCGGGCGCTACTTGGAAAGCTAAGGCAAGAGGATCACTTGAGCCCAAGAGCTTGAGGTTGCTATGAGCTATGACGCCACAGCACTCTACCAAGGGCGACAAAGTGAGAAACTGTCTCAAAAAATAAATAAATAAATAAATAAAATCATGGGATCTGAGAGTAAACCGAACATAAACCATTTGCATTATAAAATGACATCTTTCCATGCACAGGGACATATGTGGCTGATGCTATTTTAAAATGTTATTTGTCTGCTTCTGGCTACTACACTCTAGTAACATTCTCTTCACCAGAATCTTTCAGAAGCAATGTGTGACGAAACTGGCTTTAAAGAGAAACCGGGAGAAACCCGGTTGTCTGTGTGTTTCTTCCCACCTCAGTCCACCAACTTTGTTTCCAGATAGTTGCAATATAGTAGGACTTTCCTAAATAACCAGGTATTTATGTAAGTTTGTAGAACTAAGTTTGAATTTTTAAAAGCATTTCAAGGTTTTAAAAAAGTGTATGTAAAATGACTCCATCCCAAATCCCATATGTATAGTGGAGGAAAAGTCAGTGTCAGCCCCACGTTAAGGATGAGAATTGTGTGTACATCCACAGCAACACCAGTGGGAACACCATATTCCTAAATGTTAGGAAACACCATTGCTAGACAAAATTACACCTTTTGGACTAAAATTACAAACTGAGAAACAACAAAAAGAGGACTTAGCTGATGCTTACAAATTCAGGAACAAAAATATTTCAAAAACCTGAATCTTGCTAAGTGGGACATTGGCAAGCCAGGACAAATTGCATGACCACCCACTTCTCAAGAACTGTAATTCAAAATGAGGAAACTGCAAAATAATTACAACCTGACAGCCTGTGCCCTCTGCTGCCGCTGAACTGAGTGTTGCTGTTGCGACACTAGCCCCTGAGCTCAGGCAGGGCTCTGGTCTCTTCGGCCTCGCCCCCTGAGGAGCAGCCTCTGTTACCAGGCCAGGGACTGTTGCAGAATGTCCCTGCACCCGCACTGCCAGGTTAGTTAGGAAGCTGACAGGTGTAGCTTTTCCTTGTCATGTCACCACAGTCCGCATGGATGGAGCACTGGGCTGATTGTTAGAACTGGGCAGGAGAGTCAGAGTAACCTCAGCCAAGCGTCCCCTCACACACATACGTGGGACACCTTGCCTGCCATTCAGGAGCAATTAAACCAGTGGTTCTCAACCTTGCTAATGCTGCCATGTATTTTCATTGTTACAAAGGGGTCGCGACCCACAGGTTGAAAAACTCTGAATTAAACCATACCACGGGGTTGGGGAAGGGACTGAGAAGGTCAAAAGAAACTCTGAAGAGAATTATGTCATCAAATGTATTGGCACATGCAAATATGAAGCCTCAATGTAAAAAATCTGAAACATTATTTTTTCCCAGAATTCAGAAATAATAAAGATGGCTGAGTTCCAAATGAAAGAGGCTTCCTATTAAATAAAAAAGAGGTTTTTGTGCCTCACACAGTTCTTGCAGAATTGCCAGCTCCCCAGTGTGACACAGCTACTCCCCAGAAAGCCCTGGGCAAGGAGGAGAAGGGTCCCCACCCTGACCCTTGTCCCCTCCTGCTCTTTCCATGGCAGCCTTGGCTCCCCTGGCCAGCCCCTTGCCTACCTCTGTTCATCTGTGGTTTCCCCATCAGAGCCTTTGGCCATAGTGTTAGCATATCAACCCGAATTTTAAGAAGTTCCAGGAAAAAAAATTGTAATTAACTTACAAACTTTTATGTGGAGTGACTGAGAATGAGAAGGAAAGCATAATAATTTAAGGTTGATTAAATCTCCCTGTGTACCAGACCTTCCATGCAGGGGTCAGGATGGAAGTTATCCTTGGACCATGGAGAAGGAAATGTGCCCAACACAGCTAAGGATGTGACTAAGCAAGGACTCAAGGCCAGGGTTGTTTGGTCATGAAGGAGCTGAGTTACAGTCAGCCATGTCTACAGGGAAGGAAATCCAAGACTCTTGGCTCTCACCTTTGGTCATAGATGTTGGTCCCAACCCACAAAGAAAAAGTAAATTCCTGTAACCAACTTTTAAAATTATTTTCAATTTATTAATCCATTCATGGATTGATAGGCACTTGGCCTTCTTCCATGACTTGGCTATTACGAATGGAGCTGCAATGAACACTCTGGTGCAAATATCTTTTTTGCAAAGTGATTCTTGGTCTTTTGGATATAGTCCTAGTAGAGGAATTGCAGGATCCAACAGCAGGTTAATAAATTGTGGTATATGTATACCATGGAATACTATGCAGCCTTAAAAAAGATGAAGCCTTTACCTTTTTTATGTTTATGTGGAGGGATCTGGAACATATTCTCCTGAGTAAAATGTCTCAAGAATGGAGGAAAAAGTATCCAGTGTATTCCGTACTTCTGTGAAATCTATTTATATTTACTCACACTTTCTTATGAAGATAGAACACAACTATAGCCCAGGATGAAGGAGAGAAATAGAGTGGGAAAGGAGGGGAGAGGGGAGGTTTGACAGAGGGAGGGTAAAAGGCAGGACCACATCTATGGAGCATATGACAAGGGTACAAGTCAAATCTGTGAAGTATGGAACATAGATGTTTTGGCATAATAATCAAGTAAATGAAGTGAAAGCTGTGATGACTGGTTTGATGTAACCACGTCAGGTTGTATAAAAAAAAATCAGCACATTGTACCCCGCATATGCATGAATATATTCATGATCTATGTGTATTTGACTTAATTAAATTAAAAAAATTATTTTCAAAATGTCATTGTAGGTAAACTGATGCTTGGGTTTCAGTCAAAATGAAATGATCACTTTTATGCACAGACATAACTTTTAAAACTTTATTTACAGGACTTGCTGGTTCTTGAAGAACAGGAGGTGAGTAATCTTATGAAGATATTTGCTCCCACTGTGCTCTCCCTCCGTGTGTGTAAAAATACACTTCCCCTTTCTCTGGGAACACAGCCTTTTTTTTCAGCTAAACCTCCACCTGGATTTGCACAGTGTGAGTCTGTTGTCCTCACAGACTTTACTGACACCTTTTTTCAAGGTATATTTCAGCATTTTCTAGGCATATAGCTATAAAGATACAAAAACAATGAAACCACTTCTGTTGGGGAACATTCAGATGTTAACCTGGGGACCAGGGTGAGTAATGAGGTTTTAATTTTCATTAAATTAAACAGGGTATTTATGCTTTATTAGAATAGTATCATTAATATGCAAAATGCCATATTTATTTGCATGTTTCTATTCCCCCTTGCCCCATTTTTTTAATATATTAAGTTTTCTAAGTATATAACTAATTTAAGGACATATATAAATATTATCAATCAGCAATTGAGTAAATAATCATTTATACATCTTATGTCTGTCAGTAAATATCATTTGTCCTGTTGCTCAGGCCAAACTTGGAAAAATCCTTACTGCCTCTCCTCTGATATCAGGACATCCTGGTGATACTTCATAAAAGATCCCTGATTCAAACACATCTGGAAGATTACACCATGACCACTAGATGTGGTGATGTTCCCCCCACCCCCATCAGCTCTTGCCTGGACTCTGCAATCCCCTAGCTCTTCTCCTGGTGTTCACTCCGCTGGCTTTTGATTTTTAGGGAGCATCCAAATGGGCCTTGTGGGATCAGGTTATTTTCCTGCTCGAACTCTAAAGTCCCCTCATCTCACCCAAAGGAAAGCCCCAAGTCCATACCCTGGCCTGCCAGGCCCACAGCACATGACCCCTGATGCCTCTCTGGCATCAGCTCCACACTGACCATGCTGACCTCCTTATTCTTTCTACCTCCTCAGAAAAAGCCTGTAGTTCCCACCATGACGGTTACTTGTCCCCAGATGTCCTCAAGGGCTGTGCCCTCACTGAATCAAGACCTCAGTTGACAGGATTTCCTTTTACACAGGACAACAAAACTGTAGGGTGGAATGTAGCAGAGGGCAGGCAAAGAGGGAGACGCCTACATTTTTTTTTTTT